AGCGCCGGCCCCGGGGTTAGCGCCGGCCCCGGGGTTAACGCCGGGCGGGCCTGTGCCTCCGTGCTGCGGGAGCAGGGGGCACTCGCTTAGAGCGCTGTGTTATCGCGGGGTGATCGCCTCGGGGTTTAGGCTTGTGGGCGAGTGGCTCCCTCAGTGGGAGCTTAAAGTCAGCCCTTCCGGGATGGAGCTTCTCAAGCACCTCAGTTGCACATCAACACGTTAGTTGCAGTAACCTTGCAGAAACGCTGCCTGGCCTTTGAACTGTAGAAGCTGAGAGGCGTGTGGGGTGTGAATCTTGTCAGTAAAGCAGCAATATGAAAGCTTCTTTTGGTGCTTAGCAGGGCGAAAAGAGGAATGTAGTTTAATCTTTATCAACCCAGTGGGGAAGATGGTGTTGAATTTTCAGCACGGTTTTCCTGGTTTTATTACTTATAAAACTTAGTATTTTAAGTAACAGAGCTGTGACCTTTACTTAGTCAGAGCTAAGTTGAGTAACTGGTGTGACACATGCTCTGTCACTTAGCTTTACGTGGTTGTTTTCTCAGTTGCTTTGTCATGTGTTCTTGCCTGATCTGTGGGACAGGCTGAATATGAGCCTCTCATGTTGTGGTGAGATCACATGTAGAACTAAAGCTGTTGGCTCTCCTTTCCTAGCTCAAGCTCTGCCCCCTCGACAAGCAATACAAGTGAGAAGTTCTCTAAATTTGGAGACTGTTATTTGGTGTGAAACTGAAACTGTGTTTTTTTTTCCCTCATTTTAAAAGTTCAAATCAATTTCTGTAGGGAGCAAAGAGGTTTTTTTCCCTTTTGTCCCTTCTACTCTGGGATAGTGGGATATCTGGCTGTTCTAGTTCAGAGCTCGCTTTTGCATTTGGTGTGCCTGCACGTTGCTAATAGAAATAATTGGCTCTCACACAGGTCCACAGAGCTGGATTCCAACTGGAGCTGGTTCCAGCTGAGGTGTATGCAAGTGGGCAGCAATGCCAACGCGGTGAGGAGCCTCTGTAGGCATTTTGCTTGCTTTTCCTCTTGCTAATCCACATCCTCTGGTTTTTGTCCCTCTCCTCTGTGTGGCTTTCTTGGTACCAACTTCATGTGTTTGGTTGTTTTTCTTCTGGCTATAACCTCATCTGAAATGTGTGATGAGGGGAGGCGTTTGTCAAGTGTGCTTGGAAGTCAGGGCATGTGATCTTGGAATGCACTGTTTTCTGATGTGGAGATCTGTCATTTCCTTAACTCTCATTTAAGTGAGAGGTATAGTCCTCTTAAATGAAAGGTGTTAATGCTGATCCCTATGAAAGCTTATTCTCAGCATTGTGACTTGGAAGTATCCTCCTGTGGAGAACAGGGATGGATTTTTCCCGTGGGGCCTGGAGTGAGACTTCTTGGAGGGAGCTGGTGCATGAGTGGCTGGTTCATGCTGTGTGCTCAGTGTATCATCTCCTATCTCTGGGGCACTGCTTTTTTCTGTTGAGGTTGTCTACCACTTGCTTGAGTATGATGTAGCACTCAGGAGACTGAGTAATCCTCTCCCTCCAGACGTCCTTCTTCCGCCAGCACGGCTGTACGACCACAGACGCCAACGCCAAGTACAACAGTCGAGCTGCTCAGATGTACAGGGAGAAGATCCGGCAGCTGGCGAGTGCTGCCATGGCCAAGTATGGCACAGATGTAAGTCTGAGCAGCTCTCTGCTGTTAGCTGTGTAGTGCTGGAGGTTGACTTTTGTAGGATACCTTCTTCTTTTTACCCTCTCCTCTCTTCAGCTGCTTATAGATGGACTGAGTGGAGCCCCTGGTCACTCCCCTGACAAGAGTGATGCTGATTTCTTCATGGAGCACACACAGGTGAGAAGAACTGTCTAAATCAGAGAGTTAAATAGCCAGCTGCTGAGCCAGGAGCAGTCCCACTTAGTTTAGAGGCACTCTGAACTGTATACTCCTTCAGTAGTATAATGGAAGAGCTAGGATTCAGTCATCAGCCTGGGATGTAGTCACAGAACTAAACAGTCTCTCATGGGGCCTGTAATACCTTTGGGTAGAGGCATAGTTTGGAGTTTGGAACACGTTTCCTTCAGCTGAAAACTGAATACAGGTCACTAAACCTGAAGTTAGTTCAGGATTGTTTGGTTCATTCATCTTCTGCAAATGACGGGAATGAACATCTCCTTGCAGTCTTCCAGTACCTGGGATGTAGCAGATGCCAGCCAGAATCCTGCACAGTCTTCACTAGAGGTGGAAAAAGCAGCAAAATCATCAGAAGGCAGCGAAGTGTCGAGTGAGTTCCCTGCTGAGTAATTGTTCCAAGAACCTGGCTTCACTTCCAGAGTACATTTCTATGTCACAGTTGGAAGAGCTGAGTTTTTCCTTTGGCTCAGACTTGAAGGAGTAAAAGCTCTGTGCACTCTTAGGATGTTTAGTGGAGACTTCTAAACCCACTGCTCTGCTTGGGATAAAGCCTCAGCTTTTCTTGAAATGTACAAAAAGCTGTTTGGGGGATTAGTTCTCCCATTTCCCTGCTCCCAGACATCATTATTTGTCTAAACATTGCTTTCTATCCCGTGAATTTGGTGTGCCTGCAAATGATGTATGAATGTAGAGCAGAAAACTTTCTAGTGTGAATGATGAGGACACCAAGAATCCAGGGGCTTAGCTGTGATTTGAAACCCTGCAGAGTGTTTGTTTTCTTTTCATGTGTTAAGAACACTGCAGAGAGAATAACTTGTTCAATTGAGATTAAGTTGTGGTGCTTGGGAAATTGCACATTTCAAACTGTAACTTGGCTTGCTTGGAGTGGTGGGGAAGGGCAGAAATATAAGTGGAAATGTGAGCACACTGATTCTCAACCCAGTTCTTTTCAATCTGCTGAATGTTCTCTCTGGTTTTGTGCCCACAGATTCCAGCCAAGGGCCATCTACTGACTTGTTGAGCACGTCTCCTAAAGCTCCTCTAGGTAAGTGAGACTCTTCTCTCTCCCTCAGGTCAGTCTTGCTCCTACTGTTCAGTGATAAGCTCAGTGGAGCTGGAACTGATGAGCCAATTCTCAGAATGTTTGAGGGAGCTTATGTTCCTGTGGAGCCAGTACTGAGGATCTCCCTGAACCCCCAAACCAAGTCACAGTTTACTGGAGGTTTCCTTCTCAATTGGATCATCAAATTCAAAGCTGTCACCTTCCCAAAAGCTTGGTTTCATTCTTCGAGTTTTGGACAAAACTTTGCATGCACATATCTGGAACTTGGCTGATGAAGGCCATGTGGCTGTGGGGTTTGGTTTGTGTTGGGGTTTTTTGGTGTGGGGTTTTCCCCCCTCCCTGAGCCTTTGGAGGCAAATGAATTTTTGGCTACCAGAGAAATAGGAATTGGTATCTGATTCTTCCCTGCCATTACTGTCCTGGCTGCACACGCAGCATCTAGCTAGACCTTCTTTCCTTATTTAGAGTGTACTCCTAGCCCACAGTGGGTTCATCCTGGGTGGAAAGCCTGTGTCCTCAAGTGTCTGTTCATTCCCCGTGTTTTATGTCTCTTCCTCAGACATGTCCATGTGTCTATCAACACAAGAGCCTGCTCCTGCCAGAGGTAACTGGCTTACAGCTGGCCTGTGCTGGCTGCTTGTGACAGCTCTGCTGCCCCTTCTGTGATTCTGCCTTCAACTCTTAACTTTAGCTTCCTGTGCTTGGAGGGAGGGAATGAGCCAAAGCTTACATGTATCATGTTGGGATCTAAACCATTCCATATCTGGAAAGGGATCTTCCTGATGTTTCTGTTAAACATTTCCTGGCAGTAATATAAAACCCCCAAACAACCCCAAATCAAATGTTAGGAACAGTGAGCTGAAAAGAGTCTTGGGTAGTGTAAATGTTTTGAACTCTCCTATTTTGAAAACTTATGGTAAGACTAGAAAGATACAGGAAAGGCTGTCAAGAATGATCTGAAGTATGGCTTGACATAGGTTATGTGGGGATAGAAAGTAAGGAGACACTTCTGTGGAAGAAAAGCCCAACAAAGGTGATAAGATTTTGGAGCTATAGGTTGGAAGCTGGGAAAAGGTCCTGGGCAATCTCTCTGTTTGCTTTGTCTGACACTTTTCCCCAGGCAGCTGCTGCTTGGCTGGACCTTGGCTGGTTTTACAACTGTGGCATGCTCCATGGTCTTGGAGTGACAGGTTCCTGGTGCCAGGTGTTGGGAAACCTGTGGCTTTTACAGCTCACTGCACTTCAGGTCCATTTTGTCAGTGGTCTGTTCATGTAAACATGACCTTAGGGTTCTTGCTTCTTTGTCCCTAAGGCATTGGTGAGGCACTGGCCTTCATATGGTCTGAAGCTGCAATGGACATGCTTCTATAGGCCACCAGCCTGCAACTGTGGAGCTTCTAAGTGCATCTTTCTTGGCTGGGTGAAGTCACCCAGGCTTCTGATGTGAAGCTGCATGGTGTGCCCTGGACTCTATAGCAGCTGGATTGTGGTGGATGTTTGTGTGGGTTGCTGACTAATTTTGGCTTCTTGAATTAGTTCGCTTCTGCTTATTTGCTGCTTCCCTCCTCTTGTAGAACTTAAATCCTCCCTCATTGGAAAGAAGAAACCAGGAGCTGCCAAGAAAGGGGTATGTCTGAGCTCTTGTTCTATGGAGAGGAGGTAGAGCATGTCCTTTCCCTGGGCCTTGCTTTCTGCCTTTAACAAAGCTGCTTACTGAGATATTCATTTGGGGAAGGGAGAGAACTTTGATTATATCACTGCTGATTTTGAAAGATAGCTTGTACATTAATGGACAAAAGCAATTAGGTTTTGGATCATGACTCATTATGTGAAGTGTATGTGGCTGATCTCTTAGCACTAGCCACTGGTGGCTTAACTCTTGGGTGTTCTTCCATACTCTTATTGCAAGCTCTAGTGGGTCTATAGATTGTGACTACACAGGGAGACTGAAGGCCTGATGAGTGCAGCAGGGAGTAGGATTCTGGTTTTCTTCTATGATGAACAATATAGAGTGAAGAAATCACAATCTTTTGGTTCTGTTTTCCAAGCTGGGAGCAAAAAAAGGCCTTGGAGCCCAGAAGGTGAGCAGCCAGAGCTTCAGCGAGATCGAGAGGCAAGCCCAGGTGGCGGAGCAGCTGAGGGAGCAGCAGGCAGTGGAGTCCAGGAAACAAGCTGAGGAGTCCATGTAAGTGCCCTGTTTGGGCTGAATACCTTGCACACGGAAGGCAGAAGTAATATGAGGTTAATGCTGTTCACCCTAGGACCACCTAATGTGAGTACAGAACATACTGCCTGGTAGGATGAGCAGCAGGTATAAGCCAGTAGGGTCCTTATGGCAGGGCTCAGGTTATATTGCCAGATTGTGTTCAAATTAGCATCCCTAGAAGAGTTCAAGGAGCCGATATGGAAGTATTTTTGTTTCTGTTGACCTTTAGATAGGACTGAAAAAGGCAAAGCTGAACTGGATGGGGCATTCTCTCAGGGGTGTGTGTGGGAGACAGTGCTTGCACTAAGAAAATCATGGTTAGCCTATTAAGACTTGAATCCCAGCGGAGGTGAGATGGGAAGACAAGCAGTAGCTTCTATGCAAGGATTTATGGCAAAGCTGTTGTGGGAGTGGGTGTTTTGATGGGTTGTCAAGGTTACTCTCCCCCTTGCCACTGAACAGCATGGGCTGAGGGGGAGGGTGATGAGCTGATGCCCACCTTAGCTCTATCCTTCAGAGTCACCTCGATGCGACTGGCTTATCAGGAACTGCAGCTCGAAAAAAAGAAGAAACTTCAGAACCTTGAAGGGAGGAAGCGTGAACAAGCAGAGAGGCTGGGCATGGGCTTGCCATCGAGGAGGTATTTAACTCTGTATGGCATAGGACAGATGGGTGCCTTGGGAGCACCCTGCTCTGGAAGAGTTTTCTGAAGGCAATAGCTTGCTGCTCTTGTAACAGATAAGAAGCTGATTTAAAGTCCTTGTATGCTGGACTATGTCTAAAAACTCTTCAGGCCCCAGAAAAAATGGGCACTCTGAGGTTCTAGGTCTCATTTGAGCTTTCCGAAGATGCATTTCGCCTGTCAGTGCTGAGGTCTAGAGCCCTGTACCCCTGCAGAATACTCCCCTTAAGAAGGTATCACAAGACTTCTGAGGGAGTGGGGATAAGCTAGATGAGTGGTGAAGGGGGCTGGCATCCCACAGCTATCCCTTGAGACTTGGGGTACCTGCCCTGCCTGTGAAGGCCAGATTGAGTTTTGGGGCTGTGACTGTAGGGGATGTTGGAGCCAGGGCCCTGACTGCCTGTCTGTTGTGCTAGTTCTGTTTCACATTCGGTGATGTCTGAGATGCAAGTAATTGAGCAGGAGACACCGCTGGTTGCAAAATCTTCCCGCTCCCAATTGGACTTGTTTGAAGATGCTGGAAGCTTCACCTCTGGACCCCCCAAGTAAGACTTAGCTTCAGTGTAGTATTTGGTTTATTCCTGAATTTAATGTTTGGCCTAAATTACCTTATTGCTGCTACCTAGGTACAAATACAGTCCCTTCTCATTCGAAGATGCATTTGGCTCACGATGGGAAACGGACTCGTCATGGGGTATGGACAAAGAGGAGGAACCTGAGGTGACCATTTCTAGTATTCGCCCAGTTTCAGAGAGGTAAAGTGCCTGCCACTGCTACTGTACCTTCCTTGTGTGTGGGACAAAGCGGTGGGTCTAAGACCTGTGGGGAGAGATGCTGCTGTGTGATGACAGGAGGCTTGTGCTGCAGAAGACAAGTTGCATAGACAAGCCCAAGAAAAAGGGCCGTGCGTGAAAGAGGCTTGGGCACTTCTTTGCTTATCATGATACAGCCTTTATGGTCATCAAGTGCTGGCTGTCCTGAGGTGGGGAGTGGAGAACCCTGGTGGTAGCTAGGACTCGAATTTGTTGCTTTCTTCTGGTCAGCTGGGGTCTCAGAGAGAAGTCTGTTTCTTTACTGTGTTGGTGAGCTGAAGCTGAATGTCTCCTCTCTTGCTTCCTCAGACCCACCAGTAGGCGGGAGCCAGAGAACAGGACATTTGTTGTGGAATCCAATGAAGCTCGGCAGAAGTTTGCAGGGGCTAAAGCCATCTCTTCAGATATGTTCTTTGGGCGGGAGGCAGATGCTGAGGTAGATGCATTCTGCAGTGCTTAAGCTGGTACAGCTCTGGCTTCATCTCTTCCCATTTGCTCAGGTCCTACTTCATTCCCTTCCTTTACAACCATTTTGGTTTGTTCTTTGCTGCAGTATGAAGCCAGATCCCGATTGCAGCAGCTCTCGGGCAGCAGCGCCATCAGCTCTGCAGACCTGTTTGGAGAGGCTGAAAATGTGCACTCAGGTTTGTTATCACTCAGTGGCTTGAGGAATGGGGCAGGTTTGGAGGACCTAGACTGGAAAGGGTCAAGGTGCTCTCTGGAGCTGGGGGACTCTGGGCTAACTCCTGCTGGTTCTCATAGGTGGCGTGTCCATTGGAAATGTCCTGCCTGCAGCTGACATTGCACAGTTCAAGCAAGGCGTGAAATCCGTTGCTGGCAAGATGGCTGTCCTAGCCAACGGGGTGATGAACTCCCTCCAGGTGAGCTCACACCCTGGCACCTTCAGACAGGCTATAGTCATGCTCAGGGGCTCTCACCGTATCCTGGCTTCTGCTGGAATTACCAGTGTCTCAAATTATGTGCAAAGTCCCAGGTAGAGACGTGTCTTTTTTAGCTGATGACTACACTACAATAGCTGGGTAATTCCACTTGGCAAGCCTTAACACTCCTGCTGGACAGGACACCTTGCCATGTCAGATAAGCTTTTTCCCACAAATCCCAGGCTAAACTTAAAAAGTTAAGGCCTTTTTACTTCCTGCCTTTGCGTGGCATCCTGTCTAGACCTTGTGTTGCCCGTCTCTGGAGTTTGCATGAAGTTTGTAGCATGGTGTCTTGGTGTGTTTCCTCCCCAGGATCGTTACGGCTCCTATTGATGACCCAGGGACTGCAAATCAAAGAGAAGCCAGCAAGAGGCACTGATGCCACCTTCGCCTGGAGTAAACTCTGCAGGATGGTCTTAGTTTGTCTGGGTCAGGTGGGGAGGGGGCCAGGACATGGCTATGCCCAGGGTGCTTTCCAAATATCTCTGGATTCCACTCTATTAAAATTCAGTGTGCCCTCACACCCACTGCTATGTACTAGCCAGTGGAGACAGGCCTTCTTACAGGGTTAACCTTGCTGCTGTAAAAGACAGGACAGGAGCTCCTGAGCTGCTCTCACCTGTGCTCCTGGCTGTCTTGGCCTATACCTTAACTCACCAAGTGGCAGCGGGAAGGGGAATGCTATTTCTCTGAACATCACGTTACCTGGGTCCTGTGAACATGACTGGTTTTGTTCTGCTCAGTGCTCCCAGTCCCTGGTGCTGTGGAGTCCTCTGTATTTGCAGGGTCTCACTTTGACCATGGGCTAATCCTTTTTACTGTCTTCTAAACCAGCATACATTGATGCATGAGGAAAAAAAATCAAAGCAAAATTATTTTTTTAGCTTCTAATTACATCATCAGCAACGAAGGCCCAGGTAAAGAAGTACTGTAAAGATACTTGTTGGATCCCTGCTTCTTGTGTGGCCCAGTTTGATCCGAGGTCAAGGTCCTGAGCCCTGACTTCTCTATGAGGTGAACTGCAGCACAGCAGTGAGCGAGTGACATTTTAGTCCTGTTCAACTTGGCTCCCTGCTTTTAACAAGAGCGTGTTCCTCTCTTCCTTGGACTGGGGTAGTAAGAAAACGAAGGGGAAAGGGCTGGTTACACGCTGTGCAGGCGGACGGGCTGCGGTACCGCGGGGAGGGGAAGGGCTTCTCGCCGTTGTAAGCGTGTGTTTGGCCGCGGCGGTGTGGTCGGAGCGGGGAAGGGACCGACCCTTGCAGTGTTTCTGCCCCGTTGCCCCGTTACGATCGCGCCCGCGGCTTAAGG